CGTGCCGTACCTCTATTCTCACACGAATACAGCGACTGGTCGCAATTCGCTCGTCGCGAGCAGATCCTGACGTTGCAATACTTATCGAACGCAAAGCATACGTTGACTCGACGAGTCGAGGGAAACGACGAGTCGCTGTAAGGAACTTGCAGAGTAATTAGTAATAACTCGTCTCTAACCGCGTATGCACTATACATACACACACACACACGTGCACACGTGTGTGCAATATGTAGCGTAAGATATGTAAGCAGTGTAAGAAGCATCGTAACGTTCGTAAGAGAGACGCTTCGAGACGAGAAAGAGAGCTTCGAGGCGAGAGAAAAGAGAAAGAAAAATGGCGCGAGAACAAGAATAGAAACGAAAGAGAAAGAGGAAAGCAGAACGCGCGACTAATGCCCGGGCGTGGTGGTAATTTTTTCAGAAACCTCTGGTCCGACAACCGGAGGACACCATGTCGATGGATAGGATGCAGCACTGCGAATTACATATGCAACCACGAAAAAAAAACTGCTGCAGGTCGTGGCTGTCCAAGTTCCCGACGAGGTCCAAGCGCATCGACGTCATCTCACGGATCTTCTTCCCCATCGTATTCGCTTTCTTCAATCTCGCGTACTGGTCCACGTACCTGTTTCGGGAGGAAGAACAGGACGAGTGAACGTCGACGAGGAAGCGCTCGGATCAAGGAACGTGGCTCGCGGCCATTCCCATCATACTCACACCACCACCACCACCACCACCAACCCCGCAGCAACCACCAACCCTGCCGCCACCGGCAAACCTCATCATCGTTCTCGTCCTCGTCACCACCATCAACACCGTCAGCAACCACCACCGCCACCGCAACTACCCCACCATTGTCACCTGCATCATCAACACCAACATTATCAACATCAACACAGTAACATTCAGCAGCGACTGCAGCAGCCACCGCCGCCGGCTTCGTCGTTGCTTCAACATCGTCAAACGTTGCCCTCGCACCACAGGCACAAACAACACCACCACCACCATCCAACGCAACGTTACCACCTGCATCGACATCCGCAGCAATATCAACAACAACCGAGGTCCGCGTCGTTCTCGTCGCTGCGCAACGTGGTCGAAGGGATGACAACGACGACGACGACGACAACGGCGGCGGCGACGACTGGCTGCCGATGCACGTCGCCCGCGACGAGGAGCTCGCGGCACTCGTTGAAAAGCCTCGCGAGATCCTCGCCCTCGCCTTCGCCCTCGCCCTCGCCCACACCATCCCCATCGCCGACTACGTCTCGCAGAGCGACGCCGTCACCGCCCGCGGCGGCTGTCCGCACGATCCCGCCGCAGGACATCATCCGCAGCCGTTTTCAACGACTCCCGGTGGCCCGTGGCACAGCCGAGCCGAGCTACTGGGGCCTTCTACCGAGACGTTGGTTCACCTGCCGAGCGAAAGGCACCGCCGGGATCGACTTTGTCTCGCGTATCGCTTTCCCTCTCATGTTTTTGCTCTTCAATCTCGGATACTGGTCCACCTATCTGTTCCAAGGTGACGAGGCTGAGCAGAAACAGAATTGAATCTCCACCGTCTCAGTGGAGACGGAGAGAGAGAGAGAGAGAGAGAGAGAGAGAGAGAGAGAGA